ATGAATATGTTGAATGATGGGGAGGAATTTTTATTCTGTTGAAGCTGAAAGTAATAAGTCTCAGAAGCAAGTTTCAGCAAGTATTTTAGCAGCATTTAAATGTCTTGAAACTTTTACACTAACATCCGTAAGACAAGCCTCCTGAAACATTTAAATTTAAATCCCATGAAGAATATGATGACAACATAAGGTCCTTGTCTTGCACATTCTTGGAGAAAATTATTTTAAGTACTATATTGAGGAATAAGTTCTTGAGGTAGAAGGTTTTACAATTTTTATTATAAGACCAAATGTATTAAAGGTATTTTAAGTAGCTGAATCAAGTAACAGAAACTGGAAAGCCATGAAACTGCATCTTAAGAACATGTAACTAATTTTTACCAGTACTGAATAAAATTATCAATAGATTATAAAATTTAACTCTTCCATCTATCTGAACTTTAATTCACCTTATGTATTCACCTAGTATAAACAATAGTGTTTTAAAGCACTTAATCTTGAGCTAATTAAAGAGGCTGAAAAACTAGTTTTGTTCATTTCTGTGTTTTTTGGATATATCAATAATTGATTTACTGCATATATTGGCACGATTTATTTGTTGTTACACTTTCTAGCTAATGGTGACAATACCAGTTTCTGTCTTTTTAGTCAGTATGGTAGGTCAACAAGATGGTTACACAAACCATATTTGAGAATTAAAGTTCTGCTCCTGTAGTACAAGATCATTGTCTAGTAGAATGTTAGTAGTCTGAGGAGCTATTTCTGCCAATGACATACTAATTACAGCACCCCAATTTTAAGAATAATAGGTCTTTGAATGACAAAATGGAAAAGTTATCTGATGACCCACAAAATACAGTTAATTAATTTGATAAAGCTTTGCATAATTTAATTTCCTAATGAGCTTCTTAATGAAGGCAGTATTTTACATTTAAATGGGATATGTACTTTGTAATAATAATAATTTTTATAATCAAAATGCCCAGTGGTGACATGATATTAAAAAAACCCAAAGTGTTAGTTCCCAGGGCATTTTTTTGTATCAGTTATTGTATTTTCATATAACTGGTAAATAATGGGAGAAAAAATATTAATTGTGAATATTAGGGTCTTATACTGTCATGTTGGTGTTGGTTGTAATACCAAAGTTATAATTAGCTTTTACATTTCATATATACACTGGAGTGTCACCTTGCAATAGCCGTCAGCCACAATAATTAAGAGCAGAGCAGATTGTTTCCATATTCTTGCATTCTTGTAGACAAATAAAATAGCAATCTACAATGGTTCCATTGTTTGCATCGCATGATTGCATGTGGTGGTTTTTAGGGAGCATTGCTGTCCTTTTAGGGTTTTGGTGCCATTAAAGGAGGATGTAAGAAGGATGTGAAAGCCCAGCTGGCACACAGGGCATCCTGCATTCACAAGAATTCTGTTTTCTCATGGTTTAGTCGGCTGTTGCTGATGACTGCATACTTTTCCAAGTGCAGTTTAAGGAGATTAAGAAAATTCATGTATGAATAAAATATATGGTCAACTATAGCACTGGCCAAATTTAAATAACAATGTGAGCACTTTATTTTTCCCCCATGATGTATTTGAATTAGGATAAATGTACATGCATTTGTTAAGTATCAGATAATGTTGGCTTTATGAGTGAATGTGTGTGTGCAAAGAATGATAGATGAGGGTCTCAACACTGCCCTTTTCTATATCCTTTAGCTCTACCTTTTAAATAAAAGACAGATTGTGAAAACATAAAAATGAAGGAAATAAAATGAAAAAGTTCTGAAAACAGAATATATTGCTAAATATATTCTGTAGCAGTACAAACAAAAACCTTAGAAGCCACAAGTATCTCCTAGGTAGAGGCTTGTTGCTCTTCTTATTTTCTATGAGTCTAGAGAAGGTCAAGGGCTAGGTAGGGATCAAGACTGAGCTTTTAAATTCCAGCATGATGTTTTTCAGTGTTTATGGCTGCAGAGGACTGAGTGGTCATGACAAATTCTGAGTGCTATTTTCTGGTGATGTTTTTCATTGCAGGTTTTTATTTCCGCGGTTGCTGGGTCAGGTGTTCTACCTTCATTTATACAGCAAGGACCCTGTGAGCCCTCTAGTGGGAGGTTTATTCTTAACACTTGACCATTGGGGAAATGTGTTTCTTGCGCCTTTTACCGTTCATCTGTCCAGCAGCAGCCCCTCAGTCTGTCATGGGACTTCTCTCATTCATCCCACTTACCTGCTGTGATCAGATTTTTGTGAAGTGACAGGGGGAAATGGGAAGCCGCGTTTTCTTGGAAGCTGAATGACAAAACCAGAACAGACTTTGCTAGATCTCTATTGCTTGATATATATCAAAACATGTAAAAGATCATTTTAATAAACCAGGAAACAGTGGAGTAAGGAAAGACAGTTAAATCAGTTGATGAACCTGTTCATGACAGTTACCTAACTGGAATAAAAAAAAATGCTTATTTAATTTTGAATGTTTGTACAAGAAGGAAATAATGTTTTAAGTGTCAGCATAACCTCTTCTGTTCTGCTACATGGGATCCAAATGTCTTGTAATGAAGGTTGTGGTGACAGTCACCTGGATTTATGTTGTCTGCTTTGGGTTGAACTGAACCGTGTTAGACAGCTCTAAACCAACGTTAAGTTTCCCCCTTTATAAAGCAAACCAATGTAATTCATGAAGTAATCATTTCTATTACACTGTCGGAAGCTTGATGTACCTTCCTTAATTTGTAGTGGTAAATCCCATGCAGCAAGTTGGATGTATGCTGCCAAATGAATGTTGACATATAGTAGGACTGGGATGGAGCATCTAGGTTTAATTAGTAAGTTTAGAGAATGAGAATTCAGGGAAGATTGAACTCCTTCATATGAGGCTGGGACTTGAGTCCAAGCCTGAGTGGACTGAGGAAGGAGCAGACTGAGCACTCTGCAGAGCTATGTACTGTTAGCTTTGCATTTAGGATTTAGAATTTCTTTAAAAGCTTTGGTGACATTGATGAAGTGTCTCAGACATTAAATGGTTTGACTGACTTGGATCTGCAGGTGGGAGTATTTTCCAGGAATCGAATGTCATTTGCTATCTGTTAGAGGTGCTTACCTATATCTATCTATCAGGTAAATTACAGGCAGACAAAAGTGCAGTATTGGATTTTTACTGATAGCTTACAATACACAGTGATAATTTACTTTGTGAAGTGGCTTTTCAAAGATGGTGAAATACAACATTTTTTTAAGATAGTCCTAGTTTTCAGGATCAGATTTTTTAGGATCTTCTTGGATGGAACAAGAACAGTGCAAGATGTTCCAATAATCTGAGAAACCCACTGTGTCTTCAGCACAGTTATTTTTCTTAGTTATTCTGGTCAAACTGAGTATATCTAAATCTTTTGATATTAATGAGTATACTGAATATGTGTAGATCAACAGATCAAAATATTCAACAACTGATCTGCAAGGGAACTTTCAAAAATCCGGCTGTGACAATCAATGCACATGTAGATTCTGGTAATAGTTGGAATATTTAGACGTTAGAAAACCTTCAGTGGTTCTTAGTACTGACAGAACTTTTAATACTAGTAGACATGCAGAGACCATGGAGAAATCTGAGCCTCATAATCTTCTAGACTACATTTCTGGATGGAAAATAAGGGTAAGTCTGGGAAAATTATAATACTGTACTACAAGAGCAGTGAAGCCTTGGGATATAGTGAGGACATTACTTGATTCATTTATTTTTAAAATAGTATGGTTATATATGTTATATTTATAGGATAATTACAGTTCTGAAGCATATGTTGTAAGATGTCTCTAGTAGTGTGTTTAATACACTTTATCATAGTACAGATTTTGTATACTTGCACATATAATAGTATTATCTTGCAGAGAACTAAGTAAGGTAACTACAAACCCAAATGGTCTTGGTTTTCTACAGCAAAGTAGAAATGTAATAATAGCTGAGTTAAATGCAACATAGTATTTAATTTGGCAGTAGTTTATTGTCTACTTTATATAATGATTTAGGTTGTCTTTTTTAAGAAATTAATTAGGGTTGATTGTCAGCTATCCTGGTAGGTCTACAGATATTTTGATCACACAATGTACAAAGTGAAATGTTAGCACTTTAATGTTTTCTACTCAGCTTATACAGCAGAAGATAGTGTAAACCTATGCTTTCTTAATTCTATGTGACAATATGAGAAATCCATCTTCATATACTGTTTCCAACTGGTGATTATTGCTGACTCTGACTCATCATATGTCCCATTCTGCCTGCTGTTTCTTTGATAACACTGCTTCCTTTCTGGTGACATCTAGGTGGCAAACTTTGTTTTTCTCCATTTTTTTTCCAGGTTAACAAAATAGCAATCAGTTGGTAGTTAAAACTGCCAGTTATAGTTATAACTACCAATTGGTTAAAGCAAAAGAAATGTACTTCAGCTAACATCTTTCTGAAAGAAAACCCTGACCTGCTGAGTTCAGTTGGTGAGGCATGTGGATTATTACAAATAAGAATGGCCTTGCAACAGGTGCCTCACTTTTAACATGCCCTTCAGGTTTCACAGCAATGTTAGTTTCCTCTGTGGAGCAATCTGAAGTTTTCTAGTGCCACTGACACATTTCAGCTCTTCTCTCATTTGCATAACACACAGCTGCAGAGCTGCAAAAAAGATCATCTTGTTTTGAGTGTGAATTTCTGATTAATATTTTGCTGAAGTTTGAATATGGATCCTATCTTTTAATCTGGCACACCTGTTATAAAGTGGGAGTAGCATTGTTTGCTTCAAATCTTTTAACAAATATAACAAATACAAAAAGCATACATACAATGACAGCATAATATTAATAGAAAAAAAAGAATATAGATGCTGCTATCTTTCAACACTGAATAATAAACTTGCCTAAAAATGACATAATCATATTTTCCCAGGTGTGCTTTTGCTGTCTACTTAAAGATTAGTTAATTAGGCTTCATATTGTCTCCACAG